TACAAGTATCTTTTTCAATCAGTGTTTTTGTGTCTTTTGGGTAGATACCTAGGAGTGGGATTGCTGGGTCATAGGGAAGCTCCATGTTTAGCAGTTTGAGGAACCTCCAAACAGTTTTCCAGAAACCAGGCAAAGGGGGCAGAGGGCACCTCCTGTACCCAGTTGCGCAGTGAGGCCGCGCCCAGTCCCGGAGGCCACGCCCAGTCCGGAGGCCACGCCCAGTCCGGAGGTTGTACTAGTTTGTATTCCCACCAGCAATGCAGGAGAGTTCCTTTTTCTCCACATCCTCGCCAACATTTGTTGTTGCTAGTTGTTTGAAGATGGATGCACTCTGTTTTAACAGCGCCTATGCTGCCGTGATTGTTTGGGTATTGAAATATGTACCAGCCTGGCCCCGGTGCCGTACTTACCACTCGGGAGGCTAGAGTGGAAGTAAATACAGATTTTCTAGCATGGATATAATTTCCCTTCCACCGACCTTGACCGCGTCCCTTTAAGTTCCTCATAAAAATTGTGTGCCGGCCCAGAGACTATCCTGAGATGATCTGCAGGGAACTGATTGAATGAGCTACATATTCTAGGCCAAGCTGAAATTATCTGCTATTTGAAGTCGAAGCCGAGCATAATGCAGTGCAGGTTAATAGATCAGTGAAAGCTGTTTTGTCAGCTCATAAAAAGGTGAGAGAACTAAATTTTTATAATAAATAGTTTTGCTGAGCAAACAATATGTGCAGTTCTTGTGGACTTTGGAAAATAAATGATTTTAGGCTGATGGCAGGCTCCCTATCCGGATGCGGCCGTCGCGCCTCCATAATAAAAAGAATGCTAAACCTTTGGGACATTGTTCACACGTACAGGACGAAGGACCTGGGTTTCATTCGTGACTGCACTGTTCAGATAACATTTGGAGCTGTGCTATGAACGTCTGGGCCCTGTCGCAGTCTCACTATTGTTGAGGGCAGTTTGTCCGGGAGGATTCATTGTTTTTGGAGGCTGGGGCAAGGCAGCGGCCGCCGCTTGGCAAGAGGGCGCTGTGCAGCGCCCAGGTGGGCGTGTCCCGTGAGGAGACCAACTGGGCTGTTGGGCCGTGGAGGCCACCGTCTTGTCCGGGCCTGCGGGTGCCAGTGGCCGCACACTTCATGGCTTCCAAAGCCCTGATCACATTATGCAGCCGGCGAGTTGAATTTTGACCTTCTACAGAGAACGCCCCTTGGAAAAAACTAATCACAAGCCTCAGACCTTTAAAGTAACAGTCTGAAGCCTTCCCCGCCCAGCTCCCCTGGCCGCCTCCACCATCTCCTCTGTGACTTCTGGTTGCTCTGTGTGTGGCTGGAACCGCAGCCCCGGGGCCGGGACACCTGCACTGACGAGCCCTGCTCTTTGACAGCGTTATCCTTGAAAGCTTTCAAAATACGGGAGTTGCTCTGTAAAGAGAGGCCAGTGCAGTAGTTGCTGCCACGTTCGGTATTTTGGTCCATTTACCAGTTACTTTTGTCGCCAAAGTCGAGCTGACCAGAAGATGGAAAAACTTCAAACTCATTGCCAGGGGTTGCCTCTGCCTGCCGAGAAGCAGGACTAATTTTTTATAAGTAACTTGAAAGCTTTCAGGTGCGTTCTTTTCTGGGCATTAGGCCTAGTGGTGAACCCCCGACCTGCCTGCTGACCGAGATGGCTAGGAGGTTCTCAAGCCCGCCCAGGTCCCCTGTACCCAGCAGGATTTGGGGGCCACGTTGCAACCCGAGGGTCCCAGCCTTGCCATCCTGCTCTCCCTGCGAGCCTCTCTCGTCTCCAGCCCTGGCTTTGGCAGTGACCAGGCCGGGAGTGAGGAGGGGCTGACAGCAGGCAAGGTCGCCAGGCCAGGCAGCCACACCTCCACCTCTTCATCTTCAGACCCCCAGGATTGGGTAGATGTGCCCAGGGAGTCCCTCACCCTCTGCTGCTTCTCCTGCGAGTTAAAGGTGGAGCTCTGCCCATGGGTTTCCCTGCTGGGCAGTTATGGCTGAGGACTCTGCAGGCTTGGAGTTACCCTCCTTCCTTCCTTCACTCAGTAAAAATGTGCAGAACACCTGCTGGGAAGCTTTCTTCTTAAATGCATCCTGAAAGACAAATGGGACCTCTCTTTCTCCCCCCACCCCCCACCCCCATCCAGTGTCTGGACTCGTAGGTGGTATCTGGGAAATAGCCGGAAGGTGGACCCTCAAACTCAACAGTGTAAGTAACCTGAAGCGAGATAGGTGGGCCCCCAGGACTGGCTGAACAGGAGAAAATCCACTCCAGGAAATAAGGCAAGGTATTAGTGACATAAGGCACAAGCAAGGAGTGATTTAAAAACAAAGTGCAAGTAACAAGTATGAAGAATAGAATCACTAATTCTATTAGTATTCTATTAGAATTCAGGAGAAAAGCTAGGATGACACAGCTCCATGAGGTCAAAGGGAGACCCATCCAGAGACAGCAAGAAAAGATAAAGAAATAACAATTAAAAAAGAAAAGTTGCTTGGTGCAGAAGACAAGTAGATAGGGCAACAACCAACAAAAAAGAGGAGTCCCAGCAAGCTGGGGAAATGTTTGAATGACAAAGATAAATGAGCCTGAGTTAAAAGAAAAAGCAGGGGCCCTGTGCCCCAGCCACGCCCTTCCCAGGGCCCCCAGCTTCTGCTGCTTCTCTCCCCGCTTCTCTCCCCGAGGGGCGCGCCTAGGTGGGGCCACCTGCAGCCCTCACCTGGCCGTGTGCGCGCCCCTGGCGGGGCGACGTGCTGCTGTGTGCGCTGTGCCCGCTGGTGCTGCCGGCTCCTGCCCGGAACCGGCGAACCGGCGCCGGGAAACGAGGGGCGGGCGCCCAGGAATGTGCGAGCAGATGAGCGTGGCCGGTAGGCGGGGGCTTCACCGTGTGTCTGGACTTCGCAAAAGTGTGATGGAGACCGTTTGATTGACATTCAAAACTGTGCTTAACAGTGTGATTTGCCTTAAGAGAAGTTTAACTTCTGTTTCACCTTGTGCCGGGGAGGTTTCCGCTCTGTGGGCTGGCTGTCAGGACGCAGCCTCCCGCGCTGGCTCTCGCGCGCAGACCCTTGACACTTCACCCCGGTAGTTACTAAACGCTCTTGTGTGCACGGCAGTTTCTCTGTGACATCTCGGAGGTTTCCATTTGAGACGATGCGGCGAGACGTGTCGTCATTCGAGCCACCTGGCACAGCCCCTGCACCCAGCCCATCCCTGCAGAGCCCGGTGTGGGGACTGGGTCCACGGAGACACTGCCTTCTTCACCAAGTTGTCCTAAAAATAGCCTCATTTAACTAGGCCATTTCATGAGTTCTTTCAGACTATTCTCAGACCAATCTGAAAGCAAGGTACTGTTTCAGGCAGACATAATGAGCACTGAACCCGATCACAGGCATCTGTTACCCCGTCCAGGCTGCCAGGAGCTGATAGATTGCCCCACATAAGTGTTGGGGGGAAGGCTGGAAAAGCCTTGGGGACAGAAGGAACACAGGATACAGCAAACAGCAAAAACTGACCAGCCAGGGCCTAAATGCAGCTTGCCCAGCTCTTTGTATTAAGGGTGGGTGGTGGGACCAGAGAAGCAGGTTTCAGGGTGCAGAAGAAACCTCTGCTCGATGGTGGGACAGACTGCATTCGGACTCTGGCCTCCAGCTGGTTGCCGAGTCCCATGCAGGCGCCAGGGGGGAGGGCACTGCCCAACCTTGGCAAAGTCCAGTGTGTGGGGATATCAAAAACCATCTCAAATCTGCGACCTTTCACAAAAGGGCTGTTGGAAGGGGCTGAAGTGGAGAGGAGGTCCCCAGGAGTAAGGGGCAATCAGCACAGTAAGGCTGTTCAGGTACCTGCAGTGGTCAGGCTGCTGGAACTCGGGGCTCGGGGCCTCAGGCAGGACCTTTTGTGTAGGATCAAGTGTGTGCCTGGAGGCGGGGCTTGAGTCCTGTAGAGCAGAGAGAGCGCCGGGCCACGTGGCGTGTAGAGGCAGGAGACCCCAAAGGCGGGGCTCTGAACCGCAGCCAGCATCTGTGGCTGTGACACCTCACTCCATCTGCTGGGGCTGTAGCCATTCTCAGCCACGGCCTCCCAACGGGCCGTCACTAGGGCCCACCTTGCCTGGGCGCACTGTTCTAACCCACCACGGGCTTTCAGAATCGCCCCTGCCCTTCTCACAGGACTCGAGCATCACCCACCCCACCCCTGCCATCATGTTATATGTTGGGGCCATCTGCTCTCAGTCCTATGTCTCCTAATTGTGTTCTGGTGAACAGTAGACCCCGTCTGTACAGTGGAGACTGTCTATAGCTTAGGTGTGTAACAGGCTGTACCATCTAGATCTGTGTGATGTGCACAGACTTACACTGTCATAAGCGTGCAGCAATGTAATCACCTAATGACTTATTACTCAGAGTGCCCCATCCTCAGTGGCACGTGACTGCATGCAAGGAAGTACTTTCGAAAAAGAAGCAACACACCCGGAAACACCCTCTGTGTGAGCAGCCCGGGCAGTGCTGTGAACAGAGCAGACTGCAGGTCCCCAGCCTGCGTTCCAGTCGCCTCCCCACCTCCCTCTACTTCCTCATGGTTTTCTCAGTTCTGGCAAACTTCTACTCATCCTTCAAAATCCAGTTTACATGGCACCTCTGAAGTCTTCTCAGACTTCCTTCCTTAAGAAGAATTCATCTCGCCCTCCTGTTTTTCTAGGTTACGCTCTTCAGAGATCTATTCCAGCTATTGACCGGCACAATGTATATTACCATTTATAGCTCTCTCCCTGACAAGACTGGGAGGCCCTCAGGGCAGGGCAGGTCCCCTCCCTAGCACAAGCCCACCTTCCCCCCCCTACCATGGGCAGTGGGGTGTCCTATCACGTGTCTGGATGGTCCCCTGCCCCACACTGGGGGTGGTGCCTGGCCTGTGTGACTGTGGTCATTCTGCTGAGAACCATGGTCACCCCAAGCCTGCCACCCTGCTAACGTGTTCTCTCCCTCTCGCTTTCCTAGGGCCGACGAAATTGAAATGATCATGACGGACCTTGAAAGAGCAAACCAGGTAGGACATTTGATGGCTTCGAGTATAAACCCTCCCTCACAGAGCCATGTCTGTCGTCCTGGCTGACGCTCCTCTCTCAGTTAAAAGGCCAGTTGCTCTTGTATATCTTAACATAGAACTGTCGCCATGAGGCTTTTTGTGATGTGATGAGAAACACATGAAAAGTCCCCGGTATTATTTCCTCGGCAGCGTCTTTGATGTGGCCCCGGCCTCCCAGGCACCCATGCTGAACGTCCCTGCAAAGGGGCACGTGTTTTTCTTTTTCTTGATCCACCTGAAATATCTATCTTGTTTCCAAGCACCGCTTCTACCACAGAGTTTACTCCGCCACGGCGTTACACTCCAGAGAAGTCCTTCCCATGGGCCGAAGCCACTCGGCCTGGAGCGCAGCCCCGTTGTCAGCTAACAGCTGCCTAGTGCGAAGTGTCTAGCACAAAACAGACACCCCAATACCCAGCTGCCTGGAGTATTCAGCCACGCTGCAGAGGCCTGAACGTTCTGCTGCTACCATTGATGCTGCTAATATCAAAAGAAAGGGGTCTCCCCTTTTATTTTATTTGAGAAAAGCAACCACAGCTATGAAGTGTTTCTCTGCCCCCAGGCAGCCACAGACGAGGGGCCTCTCCCCTCAGTTTACAGCTGGGAAGCTGCAGGCGCAGGAACCCTTGACTGTCCGCCTGGGGCTGGGGGCAGGTCAGCACAGACCCCAGGTTATGGAAATCCTGGGCCCTGTGGTCTCCGCTTGCCACCCGGCAAGAATGCTGTGAGGCACGAGTCCCTAGAAGACCTGGCAGGTGTGCAGGGAAGAATATCCCTGTCCACTCTGGCCAGGGGAAGCTTCCCGACGTCTGGTTGAAATATGAAAGTCACTATGCATGGGAATGGCCGTGGGGCATGTAGGTTTCTTTTATCTTTAAAGAAAACTTGGTGGACGCAGTGTCAGACACGCAGACTCACCGCTGAAGAGCTGGACACCGTGGCCAGAAGGCGCTCCCATTCCGTGGCGACGCACACAGTGTCACGAGTTCGCGCCCCGTGGTGTTCGTCGTCCTAGTAACTGTAGGAAGAGCTGGCGGCCGCTGAGTAGCTGCCCTTGTGCCCAGGTCTGCTCTGGGCATTGCACAAGAGCCGGCCACTGAAAGCTCAGGGACGCCCAGCGGGCCCAGTGCTTCTAAGCTCTGCGTTTTACAGTTGAGGAAACGGGCCGGTGGCCAGTGAATCTCGGCGCCAGCGCGGGAGCCTGCTGGCTTCGTCACCACAGGGGAGTGAGGCTCACTCTGCTTTTCTTGAGGCCATCTCCTGTCCCCAGTGCTCCGTCCGTCCAACGTGCCGCGCACGACGGACCTGGGCTCCGCCGCGCCTGGACTCGTGACTCGCCCGCCCCGTGCGTTTCCTCAGCGTGGGGTGCCGGCTGCACCTCCTCGTCCCTGGGTGCCACTTATACTTCTCCAATTTCCACCTACCCATTCTTGGGCACCCCCTCCCCTTTTGACGGCACTTGGGGCAAGGTGTGGTTTGTCAGACAGGTGACCTGCGGGTATCAAGTGCACCGCCTCCAGGCCGTCCCAGGCGCTGCAGAAGCTGGACAGTCAGAGTCTGCGCAGGTGGATCGAGGCGTCCCTGTGGCAGAGGTGCAGCTCCAGGGCGACACACTCAGTCTGGCTGTGTGGCCTTGGATGGGGCTTTGCACAGCTGCATTTGAAAAAGTAAAAGAAGAAAGAAAGTTGAACTCTGAGGACATCATGCTGAAGGCTAAGCAGTGACGAAAAGACGAACACTGTACGATCGGCCTCACCGAGGTCTCCAGAGAAGTCAGATTCGCCGAGATGAAGGGAGACCGGAGGGTCCCGGTGGGGGGGGGGCCACTGGGGGCTGTTGTTTAATTGAGATACAGTTTCCTTTTAGCCAGGTGAAAAGGTCTGGAGACCAGTTGCCCAGTATTGGGAACTTCTTTAACACGACTGAACTGTACACTTAAAAATAGTCAAAGTGGTGGCTTTTATATGTATTTTACCATAATTCATTTATATGTTTAAACAAAAGAAAGGGAGGGGGAGATGATAACTAGCACTTCTTTGTAAAGTTGTTTTGAGCATGAGCGGCCAAGCGTCTGGGTAGGGTGTCGCTGCTGGTAGAGCTGATCCTGTGGGTGCTACAGCAGCACCGTCTGGGTGGGAGCGTCAGAAGTCCTGCCCGGGGAAGCAGCAGCAGGGGTCCCCGGGAGAGGTGCCGTGCCTGACGCGGCTGCCAGAACTTAATGCCCCCCACCCCAGGTTGTGTTAGTAGAAGGAGTTTCTAGAATGAAGGGGGTGGCCCCTGCCCCAGTCGCAGTACTTGGTCCCCGCCCAGGGGACATCATTCATCCTGGAAGCCACACCGAAGGGAGCAGGATTCCAGCAGGGTCGCACATGACCCTGACAGGAAAAGAGGCCGGGGGGTTTGGGATAGTCCTGATCTCTGGGAGCAGGGGAAAGACCAAGAAGCTTGAGAGCCAGCAGCAAAGGAGTAATCTCAGGAATTTGGGGTGTAACAGATCAAAAAGGGCAGGCTTCTGCTGGGGCCACCACAAATTCTGTCCTCGAAGCTCTCCAGAGCTGGCAGGATAAAGGGTCCAGCTCCTCCGGGAGACCCCAGAGGACCCATGGCTGAGCGCAGAAGCTGGTGGGAGGAAATTCCCTCCCGAAGTTGAGTGCTGGCTCCCTCTGGCCAGCAGCGGGCCAGGGCTGCCTCAGAAGGAACGCGCTCCCCTTGCAGCACCGTGCAGGCAGAGGTGGGCGGGCCTGGCGCAGAGGTGCGTCAGGTGGGGCGAGCACGGACTAGGCGCCTTGTGGGGGGCAATGGGGCAACCCAGCACAGGCGGGCCACGGAAGGGCATGTAGACAACTTTGGGGTGTGCCTCGAATGTCAGCCGCCTGCCAGGAGGACTTCCTCCTGAGCACAGTGGGGAACAGAACCACAGGCCGGAGCCAAACGGCGGGTTCAAGTTCCAGAGGGACCGCTGGGGTTAAATGTTGAGGAATGGATGGGAAAGGGAAAGACCGGAAGCCAGGAGAGCAGCGAGCAGCTGTCGTGACAGATCAGGGCAGAGATGACTCGGGCCTGAAATGAGGGGTCCCGGTGGGGATGAGGGAGGCAGGCGGGGAGGCCGGAGGGGCGTGGAGAGCTGCGCACCAGTGCGGGCTCAGCCAGACATCTGGTTCAGCCGCCTTTCCCATCAGGGAAATCCCCACGAGGACCAATTTACTTGTTCATTGGCATATAACATTACTTCTGCACTAGGTTTATAGTCAAAGTGTTCTACAGAGACCTGCAGCTCTGTGTCAGCGCTGAAGCGTTCCCGTTTCTAGTGGAGGGGCCAGGTCTGGGCCGCATTTACATCTGTTTGTGACTTCAAGGTTCCTGTGTTAATACGCACCGTCTTACTTAGTGACAGCAAAGGGTCAGAACTTTTGAAAGTTTGTGGTAATTAAGAAGCCACAACTCTGCTCTCTACAACCACAGGAACACTGTCCAGGGACTGGGTAATTGGTCCGCTTCTCTGTGCGCCTTCCCGGGCCCTAGTACCAGAACAGCCTGACCTGAGCTGCCCGTGCAGGGGCTGGGAGTGGGGGCGACACCGGTGAGGAGCCCTTCTCCTGCTAACCCAATTCTTCTGGAGGAAGGAGGTGGTCCAAACCCTCAGGCAGAGGTCTTGTTGGAAATCACAATTTAAGCTCACCACTGAGAGAGGCCAGTGGCAGAGAAAAATGCAATAAGCAGAACTCACAGCAAGGTGTGACTTTTTCTTTAGCCAAGAGTTCTGTGTTGCGATGGTAGCAAGGTGGGGGAGCGGGGTGGTGGCAGCAGCTTGGGCTCCTAGGTCTCCCGTTTGTCACCCTTGTGCCTTGAGCACACCCCACTCCCAGAGCCAATGTAGAGAATGAGGGTGATAGCCACTGGGAGAGGACCCATCTCTGGACCCCTCACTCATTTGAGAAATACTTCTCAGCGCCTACCAGAGCGGGCCCTCGAGGGTGCCGAGAAAGTGCTGGTCCCACTGGCCGAGTCCAGGGCCCCTTTCCACTGGGCGAGCCACGGGCAGCTGCTGGGAGCGTGGGCGTCTCGTGTCATCAATTCGGCTCCCGGTCCAGGTCAGGTGTGGAGAGCCCCGGGCTCATTGGAGGCCCTCGTGGCGGGAGCGGGTAGGGAGAGAGCGCTTCTGGTTTTCCTGCCGTCGCGAGCAGGAGGCGTTGCTGTGTCTCTAGTTTTCAGCCTGGCCAACCTAAGAAATTTAAATCAAAATGTGTCAAGTCGCCTGGAATCCCAGGCCCACGATCCTGGGGCTTCATGGCCACACACACAAGACACACATTTGGCCAAGTGGGTCAGGGGACTGGATCAGAGACCCGCCCACCCCCACCCACCCTTCATCCCAGCCAGACCAAGGACTCCAGATGGGTAAATCGGGAGACAGCCTGTCCTCCAGGGAGATGTGGACATTTCCTCGTGTCCCAACTTGATTCCCCGGGGAAAGAGAGCACGCCGCCCTGAGAACGCCTTGCCGCCTTTCCGCACAGGCCTGGGCCCAGGTCTGGCTCACTGGCACCCCCCTGCACCTCTGCAGCTGCTGAGGGTCTGTCTTTGCCGCCTCTGCCGGCCCCAAGCCCTGTGCTTCTCCATGTTAGAGCAAAGTCTCAGACCTTAAGGCCTGGAGTCAGCGGTCAGCGCCGTGGGCCCTGCAGGTCCCTAGCTAGGGAAGTTCCACCTGGACCGCCCCTCCTGGGGCCTGTGCTGGGTGAAGTGCCACCAGGGCCCAAGAAGCAAGGCTCACCTGGGACACTGTGGTCACGTGGGCGGGAAGCATCTGTACACTTGACGCTAAAATTTTAAGTGTTTTAATTTTTCTTCATTTTCACGAGGAAAGAATAACAATCACCTGAGGCAACAGGTACAGCTCCTTACTGGTAGCTTAGCGACACCTGTCACCTGGGCACTGTTAGGCAGTTGGCTCATGTCATCTCGTTGGTCCTCAGTCGTCCAGCCAGGCGGCTGTTTGTCTTCGTGGTCAGGATTAACAACCACCGCCCAACAATGCCTTTCATTCACAGCCTCCTTTCCTTCCCGCACTTACTCTCACTGCTCTGAAAAGTATGGAAAATAAGCAGCAGCCAGCGCAAGAAAGCCCTCAGGAGCGTGTCTGGCCTGGCAGGGCTGCCCTCATCGCAGGGCTGCTGGACTGGCTCCCCGGCCCCTCCACAGGCTCTGCCCCTGCAGGGCGGGAGCAGCGGGGAGCCCCTCCGTGGAAACAGGGACTCCGGGGCTCCTGGGCTTCCAGATCAGAAAACAGGGTCAGAGCTTTCCACCTGCATCACTGAATCCAGCTCTGGAAACAGCTTCATCAGGTTGGGCCGTAGCCGCAGAAAGGCGGGAGACCCTGGGAACAAATGGGACGGCAGCCCTGACCCAGCGCAGCACCCCGGCTGCCCCCGGGGCCGGCACTCTGTCTGCATTTACGCCGCGGAAGCTGGAGCGTCCCAGCCGCGTGCCGCCTGTTCACAGGCCGCCTCACCTAGTTTTGCTTTGCTCTTGATGTACTTAGAGTGTAAGCCCTACACAGTCAAAAGGCCGCGCGGAAGTAGCCAGCGTGACCGAAGGCCGCGGCCCACTGGGCCCAGAGTAACGCTGCCCCTGACTCGCAGAGGGAATCGAGACGCCCTGGACGGCTCTGTGAACTCTGGATGAAGCGGTCAACACCTCGACCCCCTGTTCTGTGAGCCTCGGCCTTTGATGAGATGGGCTTCCCCCACGCGCCTGGGTGCTCTCAAGATCCTGTGGTGACCACCCACGCTCTGCTGCTTCCGGAGCTCTCAGAGCCGGTGTTCCCAGCCGGGCCTTGCAGCGGCCGGGTTGGCTGCCACCAGCCAGAGATAGTTTCCTTCATCAGCGAGATTAGAACTGTGTCAAAATACACACCTTGTTCCTGGCAGAGTCTTGCAGGTTCTATGCCCAGGCATTGAACAACTAGAAGAAAGAACAACTTCTCAGTTGTGACAGTGCAACTGTCTGACAAAGCCGGGGTGGCATATCTGGAAATAAACCGGGGAACTATTCTTCCCTGCACACTTTTCCTGCAGCATAACCGTCAGCCACCCCGCCACCTTCAGCACTGGGCACCCTTCCTGATGGGCTATTCTTGACTCTGTGTGGAGCAGAGAGGGTTTGGAGGTGGCTGTTTGAGCACCAACAGACCTGGCCAGGCGCTGTGTCAATTAAACTGAGCGCAATTCCGAGAGCTCCTGGAGAAGCAGGGCTGGTGGCCTCCAGCACCACGCCGGACCGAAGTGGCCACTGTCAGAAACATCCTGGTGTCTGTTCTGGGAGAGTCTCAGAACAGGGCCACTGCAGAGCCGCTCGAGGCTGCCGGACCTGCTCCTCAGACAGCAGGGCTGATCAGTGAGGCCTGGGGCAAGCCAACGCTCTTTTCTGCTTTCCAATTCTTTCTTAGCAATGAGAAGACATTTGCTGTCAGGCCACTGAATAAGAGAGCACAAAGAGCCTTGCTTAGCCAGGCTCTTCCCGTTAGTCGTTTTGTTAGTGGGATGTAGTCTGAGGGAAGAGTCGGCACAGTGCCTCCCACCCACCCCCTCCGTCAACCTCGCGGTGTCCTCCCAACTTAGGGCTTCGTCCCAGTCACAGCTGTTGGAGCCGCCCAAGCTCCCTGCACTTCCCAGGACAGTTGGCCTCTCAAGGTCGCTGAGAAGGAGGTGGCGTCCCCATTTTAGAGACGGGGAAGTGGAGGCTCTGTGAGCTCAAGTAACCTGCCCTGGTTCCCAGATGCCCGACTCCTGGCCCGTCTGGCCCTCAGGCTGTGGGGCGTGGCGGGGTGGTGACCTGTGTTCTCATGTCCGGTGGGACCTTGGTTTGCTCTCCTGTGGCACCGGCTGCCTTGTCTGGGAGTGGAAGCCTCACTTGTTCTCCTCAGCCTCCCTTCTGAGTCCACTTTGTTCCCCCTGGTCCCCCCCCATAACCCCCCCCAACCCCGCCCCCGTGACTGGCCCCCCTGCGCTCCGACCCCGGATCGGCCCAGCTGACTGGAAATGCCAGCATCAGCGTTAGAAAACTTTGTCAGGTGAAGGGTTAAATACGCTGGAAGAAGCCTGGCCCTCACAAAAGAAGTGGCATTTACACCCTGTACATTTATGGAAATACTTGCCGAAGGAAAACAACCACAACATTGTGCATGTTTGGAGGAAGAGAATGGCCAAAGTGTCTTTAATTCACTGTTTACCCGTGAGAATTACTCCCAGGAGTGATCCTGCAATAAAATCTTCTTGGTCTATGAGAATAGAAAGAAATTGAATCAAAAGACTCTATTTCCACTTGTATTTATTCAGTCTGGGAAATTCAGTGGGCCGGAGCATTAGTATCAGCAGGGGATTCCTTGCTCCTAGCGTTAAATTACTGTCATAATCGCTCAATTATTTCTTCCTTGTACTGTTTAAAATAAAAATCCATCACATTCTATGTTTTTTTCCAGCATTTATTAGGTTGAGTGTTTAGGAAAATCAATTATAGTCAGTCAGGCATGAATTGATGAATGTTCTTGTAATAATTGTCAGTTGTTAAACTGAATGTACTTTCTCTTTTCGCCCTTTTCATTTCCTTCAGAGGGCAGAGGTGGCTCAGAGAGAGGCGGAGACCTTAAGGGAGCAGCTCTCGTCAGCCAACCACTCTCTCCAGCTGGCCTCGCAGATCCAGAAGGCGCCGGACGTGGTGGGTAGCCGGCCTGTGGACCCTCTCCGCCGCGCGTCTGTGCCTCTGCGTTACAGCCGCCTCTTACTTTTTCCTTTTTCGCGTCCCCTTTTGGGATGGTATTTTAAACAGCTATCCTGTTTTAAACTGCTGTCCTGGCGGGACCGTTTGTAACCATTTAGGGGCGGAACGTGTTAGAGTGGAAGGAAGAGCTTTGCTGACTTCGCCTGCAGGGCTCCTGGTAGTCTCCGCCAAGTGTCTTCTGGCTGGGCCGGTGGGACAGGAGGGTCTTGCCGGTGTTGAGGGGTGGAGACCTGAGTCACACCGGAAAATTGCAGATTGGTTTTCTCCTGAGTGTGTCCTTCCAGGGAAAGAAACAGTTCTTGACGAGCTAGTAAAATAACAACTCCCTCAGCCTGGGGACCAGCTAGACCCCCGCTGAAGCACCACTGCCACTCCTTTGCCTCTTGACTTTTCTGAGATTCGTAAAACATGCTCTCATTTGGAACTTTCCCAGCTTGATTGAGGCAATTTCCAGCCATCATTCTCCAGGCTCTTTTCTTCGGTGCTGTGCAGTGTAGTTAAGTCCTGGACGTTGGTGCCATCACTGGGTTCAGATCCCAGCTCAGCCATGTGACTCAGGCAAGAGGCTTCAACCCGCTCAGTCTCAGTCTCATCCTCTGTAAGACGGGTTTTCACAAGGGTTCTGGAAAAGCACGTAGAGTAAGGGCCGCCCACAGGAAATCCTCAGTGAATTCGGGTGGTGACTCTTTAACTGTGGTGGCATCGCCATCTGATCCGGGAGCCCTGGTTTCAAAACTCATCTCCATCGCTGGCACTTAACAAACACAGGCAGTTAGGCTTGCAAGGCCTCAGTTTCCCCACTAGAGTAAGAGTTCAGTGATCCTGAGCTGGCTTTGGCTCTGACAGCTGGAGAGTCACCTGCATTCAGTGGTGTCCTTTTCCTTAGCAGAGAGCCTTTATACTGTGCCAGGACGAGGGTGGGCACGAGAGAGCAAAGAGGACTGAGACAGGTCCTTCCCAGGGAAAGTGCGATCTGATTGGGCAGATTTAGTGTTGTAAGAAATTGATACTGTCTACTGGTGGCCACCCTGGAGCCGGGTACTGCTGCTTCTTCATGTAAACGAGGCTCTGCGGGTACACACCGTTGGCCCCAGCCACCAAACCAGAGCTCCACTGGGGTCTTCTGCCACCCCAGATCAAAGCTTTTAAATTATACCCCGGGACTGAATCCGAAGCAGAGCTTAGGTGTTAGGACCTCCTTTTTAAAATGGACTTTAGTTTTCTTTCTTTAAATTCACACTGAATGAAGGTGATTTAAGTATTCAAAACATAGAGGAAAGCCTTCCAGTTAGGAAACTATCACATCCTTCGTATCGCACGCTCCTTGATGCTCAATTTACCTGAAACGCCCCTGTGGCTGGGTCACCATCCTTACGTCCCTGCTGACCAGCCCACAGCCGAGGCGTGAGGATGCCCTCAGGGTGGGGTCAGTAGTCTGTTCCCTAGATGCCCTTCGTCCTCAAGAGGAATTGGCTCATTCTGATAGCTCTACCAAGGTGCCTGAGCTCAGTGTTTTGATTGAAAGGGTTTCTGGCACCCCCCTGGGCTGTAGCAACCAAAACATTTCAAAAGGAAATGAATGTTTTTGCAGGTAGAGTAAGTTGTGGATCGTAGGGGTGCTTAAACACTTCATCACGGGCTAAGTGCAGTGTTTACATGGCACCAGCTCCCTCGTCCCGGAGCAGCCCTGCCAGGGACCCCCCCCACCCCCCCACCCCGGCACGCATTCCCACATAGGCAGGCCGCTCGGGCTCCAGCTCCAGCCAGTCGGGGAGCAAACATAGGAAACTGGGCCAGCGGGGAAATGTGTGTTGGGCTTGGCTGGCAGAATGCGGCAGAGAAACAGTGGAGTCTGTAGCTCTAGCAAAGTCCAAAACCAGTATGTTGGGTGTCTTAGTGGAATCGCTGGTCCTAGTCAGGCGCCCAGTGAGCTTCCGCTGTAGGCCTAGCTCATCTCTGTCTCGGGACCCTGCCGTCCTCAGAGGTGGGTTTTATTGTCATTGTTTTACGGTTAAGGAAACTGAGACTCGGAGGGGTTAAATAAATTGCCTAGGTCACACAGCTAGAAAATGCTCGGGCTGGGATTCGCTCCCGGGCCGCCCCACTCCAGCGTCTGCTCTTACTTTCCTGCTTCATGGGCCCTTAGGCTCGCAGCATTACAGCTCATTACGTGGCTGACGTAGTTGGAGGCAGGAGGACCCAGCAGATACATGACCGTGAGGTTTCACACAAGTAGGTTTGGGGGGTGCGGTATGAGAGGAGGTGAATCGGTTCAAGAGGACAGAGTCGAACGGGACTCTACGTGGGTCACCTCTGTTTTGACGCTAATCCCTTCCCTCTTTAACATTTTGGACTCACAGAGCATTCTCATATCTCCTCTTGGCTCCTGTGCCACAGCCGCCTCCTTCCCCTCAAAGCCTCCGCACCCTTGAGGAAGGTAGCGTTCCCTTACGGGACTTGGAAGCCTGGGGTCGTGGAATGTCCCTGTGGCACGTTAATTGATGAAACACACGAGTCCCAGGCCCCAGAGTTCTGGCACCCACAGGACTGGTGTCAGACTCGAGGAAGTCAGTTTCAGTCCTTAAGAGGCTCGTCCAAGCCAGAGTCATAACCCTGAGCCCTGTCAGGATCACAGGGAGTCCCTGGACCCTACCCCAGACACCCCCAAACCCCCTCTCCCCCAGTGATTGAGGTGCCCGCTGCCCCTTGGTTGTTTCCAGCCCTCGTCCATGTCTCTGTCCCACGATGTCTTCACGACGGAACAACCAGGATGCCCACGGGTGTGAGATGAAAGTGAGCTGTGTTTGGGCTCCAGTCCGCTATCTTGCTCCCAGGGTCTTACTGCCTTTGGGCATATTGTCTTACCTCATCGCATTTAATTTATGCAAGACACAAATGCTTTTTGTACTGTTGTGAAGGAGCAATCTGTGGCCCAAGTTCCTAAGAACTGACGTGCCCACGGTTGCACAGTCGGCCCTGGCAGGCCAGACAGGGCCCTCCACTGAGCAGGAAGGCCTTCTGAGAACAGCGTAGCTCTGGGCCCCATCCTGAGTCCAGGCTCAGCGCTGGGGCTGCTGTTTTTACACATAATATTTGAGCCACTCCCCCCCCCCCACACACACACACCCCCCAGCCCCCCGGCAGGTTAACTCGTGCTTGCCCATTTAAAACTGCAGCTCACCTTTGGCGGCCTTTACAGACTCTTTCCTGAAGATCACTTCACACAGGTTTTATGGCCGACCTCCCTCAGGTTGAGAGGAGGCTGGAATGAGTTAAATGAGGTGGCAGGGCTTGCTGTAGGCCCGCCGCGAGGCCACCCTCCCTGCACATCTGTCGCTTCCGTGGCGTCCCCCCGCTCGCTCATCCACGAGTCTGGCCGCCCTCTCGAGCGTGCACCCTTCAGGCACCACTCACATCAGCACGCCCCTTTTCAAGCTGGCCCCTCAGCACGGCCCCGCTTCAGGCTGCGCCCGCCCTGCCCAGCCTCTGTGCCCCCGGTGCCGTCCCCGCCCTGAGCTGCAGCTTCCTCCCTGTGCGAGCCACCGGCCCCGTGGCACGCCGCCCTGCTGGAGGACTTGTCTTACTGGCCCCGCCAGTGTTTTCTGGGGCGCTGTTTCCCGCTCTCTGTGGGGAAGGGGCAGTTTTGTTTTGATTTTTTTTTTTTATAATTTTTTTTTAAAGATTTATTTATTTACTCGTACAGAACTGGGGTACAGGCCAGAGATGCGGAGGGTGAGAGTATTCACCAGAGACAGAGTGGGGAGCAGAACAGGCAGATCGACGAAGTACGCTGCTGAGGGGAGCAGCGGGCGGGCCAGGAGAGGTCTGCCGCGCCATGTGGGTCTCCTCCGGGGCAGGCGGGGATCGAACTCATGCGGAAGTGGCTTAAGCTTCTTTGTGCTGTGCCTTAACCCGCTGCGCCACCAGGGAGGGCCCAGTTTTGTTTTGATTTTTAAATTTCCAATCTGTTGCAAGCTGATGGTCACATAAAAGTAAAAGTAAAAATAGGACAGCCGTGCGGAGCGCTGTAAAAGCTCGGCTTCTGCACCTGGCGCGCTGCGTGCGGTGCTGGTGGAAGGTGGGTCCCAGCGGGCAGGCCACGCTCGGAGCAGCCCGTCCAGACAGCACGTGCCTTTTAATTGAGCCAGAGGGAGGATGCTCCCGGGCCCCAGGCGTATCAGCACCACGTCATAAAAAAGGTATTTTACAATATCAAACGAGTCAGAAAAACATTATCTTCCCAGGAGAAAGGCGTACAGGACTGTCCCTGGGTGACTGGCGGCCCCCAGATATGAAAGCCCCGTCACTAGCTCATGGGACGGTGTGGCTGCACCTGCCCAGTGGGGCGCAGCTGCCACTCTTCGCCCTCCCCCCGAATATAGGCGAGGTCAAGATGGGCAGCTGTCCACCTTGAGGGGAAGGCGTGACTGGGAAGATGCCGGTACCCTGTGGAGGTGGAATATGAGCTGCCCCGCGTCTCAGCCAAGCTGTCCTCCTTCCCCAGGGTCATGCCCAGAAGTGCATCCGCCCACAGAAAAGTTCCCAGAATCCTGCACGAGCCGTGACTAACTTGAGAAAAGGTCCTTACCTTCACCCTTAGGAAGTGGAATGACAGATTTAACTTTTTCTTCTTTTTCTCTTATCTTTTCCCTGTTTTGCATATTTTATCTGGGCAGATTTGGGGGAGGTTGAAAGGAAGTAGAAGAATTTCTAAGCAAATGTGCATCTTCCATATTGACTCTGAGAATCATTTGATCGCACCCTATTTGATAACTTGGTAACAGAGCAATCGGATGTTGAATCCCATGTTACGGTGGAAATCCAGATGCCTGGGAACACTGCCAGTTCCCTCTGCAGAAAGAGCCTTCCCGTGTGCCGCCCCTGCCTGGGACTCCCGCCACAGCAGGCCCTTTCCCTTCTGCTTTTCAGGTCTTTGCTCAGATGGCCTCGTCTCAGTGAGGCTTTTCCTGACCCCCATATAAAACACAGTGACCCCTCCAAGTCTGGCCCCTGCCCCTCCCCGCTTCGGTTTTCCTGTGTCACTCCCCACCATCCGAAATGCTTTATCTCACTCCTAAACGTACTGCTGCTGCCCGTCCGTCCGTCCCTGCGCCACCCTGCCCTCTAGACTGGTGTGAGGACGAGGATGTCGGCCCTGTTTTATTTGCCTGGAGCATGGTTGACATCCAACAGTAACCACTCAAACAGGGAAGGCGGTGTGGCGGGACTGCGGCCGGTCCTGTCCAACCTGAGGTGCCAGCCACGTCTTTCCGGCTGCGTGGGTTTTGCCTGCTTCCAGCTAACTCCAAGCACCTGCCTGAAGCCGGCACAGTGTGTCATTTCCTCTCTTCTTCCCAGGAGCAGGCCATAGAGGTGCTGACCCGCTCCAGCCTGGAAGTTGAGTTGGCAGCCAAAGAGCGGGAGATCGCCCAGCTGGTGGAGGACGTGCAGAGACTCCAGGCCAGCCTCACCAAACTGCGCGAGAACTCGGCCAGCCAGATCTCCCAGCTCGAGCAGCAGCTGAGTGCCAAGAACAGCACGCTCAAAGTAAGGGGCCAGCGGCTGAAGGAGGGCCGGACGCACACACATACATACAAACACAAGTACCCCACACTTTTGGCACCCAGGGATCCCAAACTGTTAGGGGGTACATGCCCGGAAAGGGGTTTGGCCATTGTTGTGCAAAGGCAAAGGAAGCAGACTCTTGGTGTAAAAGATCTTTGAATAGGATCAGTGTGCGTGGAGAGAAAAACGAAAGGGTATTCCTAATAATAATTTCCCAATAAAACTAGAAATTACCCAATACCCTCGTGGGCAAATTCCCAGCCAAACAGGGTCAGCCTGAAGCAGGGCCACTGAGGCCCAAAAGCGTGCCGCAAGTCTTAGGTACTTCCTGGCAAAGAGCCATAAGCAAGAGGTTAGGCAGGTCCCAGAGAGCTGGGACAGCAGGGGACACTCGAAATTCAAAATTAAAATGCAAATCAAGATAAGGGCCGCCGTAGTCTCTGCCAAAGACAGCCTCCCGCATGTCTCACTCATGCGTCTGTGCCAAGTATCTCCACAGCTGTTTTCCTCCACGTGTCTCTGAGTCCCTGGGTGACATTCAAAGGCAGAGAAGCAAAAGAAAAGGGGGGCCCCCTTACCTCTTGTTATGTAGGTTCACCTGCCTGCTCAGCTCTGCCACTAGCTGCCAGTAGCTGCCCCGCTCAGGAAGTCCAGTTCATGGAATACTGTGACTCACAATCCAGGGTGGCTGCGTGTAAGTGGAGGCGGTGGGGGGGGGCACCTCCCCTTTATGGAGGCTCTGTAGCAACACGACCTGCAAAAGTCTGGGGTCATCTGGCATGATGCTCTGGCACCCTGTGCCCAGAGTGGTCTCTCCTGCCCCTGGTGTGTGGGACACCCCTGAAAGGCAGCCTGTCTCAGAAGCTGCCTCATCTGCACTGCCTAGGCCGCTGCACCAGTGTATCTCATTTAATTCCTCCTTTCGCAGCAGAAACGCCAACTTGGACTTCTCAGTCCAGTCCCAACTAGCCACAAAACTTGCCCCCTCCAGTGAGACCAATATAACACCCCCCAAGGTTCTCCTAGTCACATCACTCAGACACCCTCAGAGCTCTGCTTAGGGGACCACCCTGTCGGGAACTTAAAGCACATAGTGGCGGCCTTAAAGATCTGAGCTTTCCAGCAGTGTCTCTGGGCCGAAGCCCCTGAACCCTGCTACCAGCTCTCCACGGCAGGGCACTTCCCGCGGGAGACACGGTTCCTGCTGTTGGCCGGGCAGAAGCCCCCACCTCAGGGCCCACCACAGGGCTGCCTCTGCTCGGGCAGGCGGGGCCGGGCCGGGAGCTAGCTGCCTCGTGGTACGCCGTGTCTGTGAGGGGCCGCAGGTTGCGCTGTGTGGGGGCTGCCTCAGGCCTGCCCTCTGGTGCTCCCGCCTGTTTGTGGAAATGAAAGCTCGAGGCAGCGGAGGCGGGTCTGGGTGGGTCTGGGCTGGCTTGGCTCTGCCCGGCTCGGCCCTCAGCCTGTGCCACGCCCAGTGGTGCTTACACACAACCCCACACACTTGCTCTCTCACTTCCCAGTGAGCGTGAGCAGCAGCGCAGCAAAGCCAGACCTTCTTGAGGTTTCCCATGCATTTGTATATCCCCTGTGCAGAACCCAGAGCCTTTTTCACTCTAGATTTTTAATTATACGTTAAGGTTTTCCAGTCTGATGAAATTAGGGTAATTTGAAGATAGGCCTGGGACCCTAGGTTTGTGGCGTGTCAGAGCCCAAAGGCTGCCCTGGAGGTCCCTCATTTGATGCTGAAGAGAGAGGACCAGCAGGCCCCATTTCCCAGACCAGACGCTCCCTGCCCCCACTCACCCCCCTCCGCCCCCCCTCAGCTGAGGTCAGGTCCGCCTGGGGAGCGGCCTACCCAGAGCAGTCCCCGCATACTCAACGTGCATCAGAGTTAGTTTCAAAAATGTAGAGAGAACTTACGTAAAGTAATTCGCGAGGATAGCCAGACTTGCTTTGATTTTTAAGAAGGCAGACGTTTCTCCTGACCCCAGCCATGTTTCTGATCCAGACCTAAGTTTCCCGCAGGTCTGTCCTCCTGCGGCTCGCTGGCGCCCAGACACCCTGTCTGCCCCGCCAGCCCCCGCTCTGCCTTGCGGGGTAGCTTTCATCCCTCGGGGGGAGAAACCGCGGTTGCCCGGGGTCCCCGCGGAGACGGCCCTGCCGGCCTCGGGCTGGCGGGGTTGAGAGCGGGCACGCGCGGCAGCCTCGCGTTCACGTCTCGGGGTCTCCTCACTCGCTCGTCAGCGTGCCCGGCCGAGTGCCAGCACTCATTTTTATTTCTAGATTAAATCTAATTTTCTCGTGTTATAGCCATTTCTGACACTGGCAGTGGCATTATTATTAGATAATTTGCCTTTCTCTCCTTTGTTGCAGTTAAAGGGTACGCCGCGGATACAGTCTGCAGCCGACTACATGAGAGGCAGGCTACAGACCTTACAATTTTTATTATAGAGCAATTTCTTCTAAATCAGTTAAGGTTTTAATGTTTGCCTTCACAAAAAATGAAACGCAGTTTCACAAATTAATGTTCTTTATCCGTATCTTGGGGGAATTCTTTAATACTCTGCAGTTAATGAAACAATTCGGCAATACTTCTTCCAAAATTATTGCTCCCTTATCTTCATCTGATCTAATAATCAAAACATATCCTCTAGTAACAAGACTTCTCTGATTTTAATTATCTTAACCCCTTGTCGCCAGGAGTGACAGTCTCCCCAGTCCCGAAGCCACACAGAGAAGGCACAACCCTCCCCAAAAGAGTGTATCTCCCCCACCGCACCCAGAGGAATAAGGTTAATTGAATGAAGTACCTTCTCAGGGCTTTTTTTTTCCTAAAGTGTATAATTTAGAGTCTCAAATCTGAACTAAGCAGTGGTATAATTATAGGAAGATAATTTATGAATGAGACCTATCAAATTGGCAACCTGATGCTTTGGCAACAGGGGTCTCTCCCAGCGCCCCACCAGACTTTCAGTGGGGCTTGCCCCTTGCTCCTCGCAGATGCGACACCCCCCTCCCCCCCTCCACCCCTGGGCCCTTGTTGTTCAGCTCTTGGGGCCCTGGCACCTCCTGGTCTGGGTCAAATTGGAACTGGACTCTGCAGCTCTCCCATCTCTTCGCTCCTTGGAGTTACAGGTGGCTTTGCCGTGAACCCTGACCGTGGTCTTTGATTAGACGCTCATGTGCCTCATGACCGCCACTGCTGGGCGTGGGGGTAGTGTCACAGGGACTGAAGGTAGAATGGGCAGAATCTTGAGATTACTGAGGCTTAACAGAATTTATTTGGGATTAGTTGGTTTGCTTTCTGTAGCACCTTGACACTCTGTCTTTCTGAAACTATTGTTTCTTCCCTTCACGTAGGCCCGTGATTGTAGTTCTGTGAGGATGCATTGGCAGCTAGTTGGATGGTCATCAACCTTTCTTCCCCCATGTTCTACTTTTTCAAACCAGATTTACCATAAATGTATCACTATCCACATACAGCCTCTAACCTTTAAATAGACATCGAAACAGACACAGAAGTGGGAGATGTTTCTTCCTGCCTAATCTGACAAGTACTCAAGCACAGTGCCACTTGTAAAGGATAATTCTGTATTCGTAATTAATGAAATAACCCGACTGCCATTACGAGGCTGCTATTTTTGATAACTCTCTATTCTGTGGTCTTCTGTTGGAACACTTCAATGCAGAGGCAGTATAATTAGGCAGTCACCTGCGTTACACTCACTGTAGCACAGAAAAGAATGCTACCAATAGCTTCAATTTAAAATGGGTATTTATAAGAAAGGCTAGCTAAAAGAATGCCAATCTCCCATAGGGAGAAATTATATTTTCTAAAGATGCTTTAAAGATCAGCCCTTCCCGCTGGGTGGGTGGGCAGGTGTATTAGAATCACCTGGGAGGTTTTTTCCAAATCACTGCACTCCTCACCCCACCGCCTGAGGTTTTGATGGGTCCTTCTGAGCCAGTGTGGAGCATGCTGGGTCCTCCTTCGCGGGTCGGGACAGGAAACAGACTGATACCGAGGCCCTCTGCCTGTCCATCCTGCCCCTGCCCTCCCTGAGGGGTGGCAGCACAAGACTGTGGTCAAAATCCAGAGAACACCGGGGCCAGGGACGAGACTCCCTGAGCCTGCATGGGGAGAAAGAAAGGTGAATGTGGCCCCAGGCATGGGAAGCAGGGTGGAATCTGCCCCGCGGCATGAGCGGCTCCCACGGGAAGATGCCAGGGGCTCTAGGCTGCAGCCCTCCGGGCCACCTTGGGATTGAGACCCGTCAGGAGGTCGCAAGTCGGTTCCTGCAGAATCGCTATAAACCAGTGGTGCTACCGAAGTGCTTTAGGAAGCAAATCATCTGTGGGACTCAACAGCAAAATCTCCTGGAAAGTCACTGGGTGGTGAATCTAGATCTTCCCTCGCAGGTGGTCCCGAGTTGGCCACACACACAGCAGCTGCCCGCCATGTGCGGTGTCTCCGTGGCCTAAATGTTGAGGAGGACCTGCCTGGCCTGTGGTCCCCGTGAGAGAGTGCTGCCAGCTGCGCACACTGCCCCCACACCACAGCTCCTGGAAGTGGGAGGTGGTCTGTGACATGGCTGCTGTGCGGGGTCCTCGGTCTGTGCGGAGCACGCCGCATCCGCCTGCCGCACACCCTCCAGTGCAGCTGGCACTCTCCCCGATCCGTCCCAGGCAGCCTTGGGGGGTCCCTCCTTTTTTGTCTCGCATGCACAGAGCACACGCAAACGTCCCTGGGCTTCCCCACCCCCGACCCCCATGCCCGGCATCAGGACGTGCCTCTCACCACAGAACCTCAGAGACCAGATCCTCTCCTGAAAGGGTCCCCGTTCATTTGAAAGGCGGCGCACACTGCTAGTCCAGGGCCCCAGAGGTGCAGAGTCAACTTGAGGGGCTCTACCTCAGACCTCTGCCCTGGACTCCTGGGAACTTGTACTTCCTCGGTTCTGACTAATGACCCAGGGTACTCGTGAGAAGAGGGGTCATACACCGACACCCCAGCCTGAGCTGTGCTCTTCAGACAGCCCTGTGGCGGCCGGGCTCTGGTCATCCTGCAGGGGAAAGATGGGGACTGTAACACAGCCCCCTCTCTGCCCCACGGCCATTTTGTGGTAAAGGAGTTGCTGTCTTGACCCTTCACTGTGCAGCCCAGACGAGGCCCGTCTGCACTGCCACATGGGCGCCTGGTTTACGGCGTGACCAAGATGCTTTCTGTAAACTTTGTGTTATTATTGCTTTGCATTATCAAACTGCCCTCATTTGAGACTTTGCCAGGACTTGAAGAACTTCACGTAGGTAAAAGTTCTTAACAATTCAAAAAACATTTGACGAGCACCTACCAAGTTAGGAGCCACACGTGTGCACTGTATTATTTAACCTGCAGCGATCGCTCCTGCGCAGCGCTGTGGCCTGCGGCGTGGAACCATCGTGTTTGAGAGGCGCAGGGCGGCTGCACGTGCTCGTCCTGTTTCCTTCGGAAACCCTTATCCTTAGCCTCCCATTTTTCAGGTGAGAAGCCTGAGACCCACATGACCCAACGACACACTCCGCTCTAGTTCTCGGCGAAAACGCATCCAAATTACACAGACTGAGACCTAATGCCGAGTCACAGTCTTCGAGCTCCCACGGGGACCGTAGTGGACACAGCATCCATAATGGTCCTGCGTGAAAGTCCTGTGGTGCCCGCCTCTGCCAGGGCCTTGCCTTGCCCCCCCTGTATTCAGCCCTTTCAGGTCATGGCTGATCTCCTCATTTTACAAGTGAGTCTATTCAGGTGCCCAGAGTACCAGAACTGGACCTGAGGTTCAACACCAGGCTAGGTTCTAAAGTGCTCCACACTTTTCCCCTCTCAAGCCCTTCCTGTATTTCTCCTGTTCACTGAACATGACCGAGTTTTCTGTGTGCCCCTTGCCCAGCCTCAGAGCACCACATCTGAAAGCCGCCTTGCGTCCCAGCGGCCCTGACCATCCGTTGTCAGGGAGACCTGGCCCATTAGTGCTCCTGCTAGTGACTGTCGGGAGAAGGACGCAATCGTCCCTCTTCACGCACCTTCGAGGCTTTTGCAGGGAAGTGAGCACCTGCCTCCCCATTTGATTTATGACTAGAGGCCCATTATGATAGATAAAGTTGGTGAGAGGTTCTTCGAAAGGAAGTCGGGCAGGGCAGTCTTGCACAACGCAAAATAAACACAAGGCACCTCGGCACGGGCAGCAGGAAGACAGGGTCAGTGAGTCTGGTCTACGGATCTCCTGAGTCCTTGCAACAGCAGCATGTGGGACTCGGGAGCGCCTTGAGGCTGCTCGGCGTCTCTCCCAACCTAGAGTGTTCCCAGGCGCTCTAAGCTCGCCTGAGTCTGGGTTGGTGAGGCGGAACCTAGAGAGACTGCTGGACACCCGGGAGGTGGGAGGCGCTGGACACGTGAGGACTCTCTCATCTGGACCGTCGCCGGCTGGCTGTTTCTTGTTCGTCTGCCTTATTTTCCCCATGAGCTCTCTTTTGGGGTGGTCAACAGCAAGCTTGTCCCACAAAGAAACCCCAGCAGAGAGCCCTGTGGGGGGACCCCTGGGGGAGCACATCTGGGTGTCGCCATGCTTGGGGAACACGTGCCCCTGGCCTCGCAGAGGCTGTGTGGCTCAGAGAGTCCCACGCCGCCCCTCCAACAGCGTTCCAGGGCCTGGGAGCCAGTGGAGCCCTGCTGGCGGGGGGCCGAGGGAGGACCCTCCCCCAGGGACTTAGATCAGCCTGGAGACCACCGACTGACCTGCTAAACAGGTCCACTCCTAACCCCCCACAGCCCGGGACCGACCCACAGTGTGCGTGCTGTGTCCCTGGGCAGACAGAGGCTCAACCGCGCAGGCTGGCACCCCGAGACAGAGGCTGCGGGAGACCTGCACGCCCACCGGCCCCCATGCTTGGTGAAAAGCCGCACGCCGACTCGAATGCTAGGAGAGCTCGTCATCCTCTGCCCCTTCCCGGCAGCTCACGCAGCTCCCTTCCGTGAAGCCGCCTCCTCCTGCGTTGTGTTGTTCCACGACCTGGCGCTGCCGCCCGTGTCAGTGCGCCCTCGCGCACAGGGTCGTCTCGCAGGCAGGCGCCGGAAGAGCGAAGGGCGGAGGCCGCCAGCTCTCCGTGTCCGGTTCCCTCAGGGCTGGCTGGATGCTCCACAGGGGACGTAGTGCAGTGCGCGAGTCTGTCTTAGCCTGTCCGGGCTCCCTTAAGAGAACACCGCAGACTGGGCGACCCAAGCGATGTTTATTTCTCTCAGTTCTGGAAGTCCAAGGTCAAGGCGCTGGCAAATTCAGCGTCTGGTGAGGACCCGCCCCTGGTTCACAGCAGCCAGCTCACGTGGTGGAGGGTCGAGGAGCTCTTTGCAGCCTCTGATAAAATGACATTAATCACACTCATGAGTCTCCACCCTCAAAACCTGATCACCCCCTCCCCCCCAAAGACCTCACCTCCTAACACCATCACCTTGAGGGTTAGGATGTCAACCTGTGAACCTGGGAGGGACAGACATTCAGTCCATCGCCTCCCCTCTCCAGACCTGGCCACTAACGAGACTTCTCTGTTTTCAGCAACTGGAAGAAAAACTCAAAGGACAGGCTGACTACGAGGAGGTGAAGAAAGAACTAAAGTAAGTGTTCAGGCACCTGCTGTGGCCTCGCAGGGCAGGGCTACCGGAGACCTCGCGGGAGGACGCCCTGCCAGCGAGGGGCCGCGCCGCCCACCTCGGCTGGGCGTCCCCGGCCGCCCGGCACCCGGGCGTCTGCACTCAAGCCCTCCCTCGAGTTCTCTGAATCTGTTACAGAATTTTGGCGCTTGAAGTACGCCTGTCTGCCCGCCCCCATCTTCTCCTCCCCTCCTCCCACTCCACCTCCCTCCCCCCAGTGTCAGAGGAAATCCACATACGATCAAGTAATTATAAAATAGGAGCTTGTTTTTCAGCCGTAAATTCCCACAACAGGAGAGCTGGGAACGCTTTCCCAATGAAAGTGCGCGTGGCCTGGCACCTCCCTGGCCACTAGGCTCAGAGGCTTTCTTCTCCCAACCTCTAGTTCCCTGCCAAGCTCGTCAGAGGTGCTAATGCTTCCTTTCTCCAGCTTGGAGGCCCCATCGCCCAGCCTGCACCTCCTGCCTTAGACTCCGGCCCCTCCGAAGCGCCCCAAACTCATGACCTCTCACAGTCATGGGCAGCCCCTGACTGTGCAGACACCCCGCCCCCGACCCGCCATTCTCCCTCCTGCCCTGCAGCTCCTCCCCTGGGCTCCGCCCACCTCCACACAGATTATTACACTGCACAGAAGGTCACTGCAGTGCACACTGGCCGCAGGACCAGGTTCTGCTCGCGGCTGTGCTGTGGGCTCCGGCATCCTGGTGGCTCTCTGCCCCAGCTAAGCCCCGACCCGCTCCACAGCCACCCCAAAGCTCTGCCTTACAGAGGAGACAGGTGCCCTGTGGCTTGTCCCGGGCCTCGCAGTCACTGCCGTCCCTGCTTCTCCCTCCCGTCTCTCCAGGCCAACCTCCCCACCCAGACCTGATGTCCCTTCCTTTGACTCCTTCCTGCTACTCCGTCAGCAGCTTTCTCTCTTGCTGACATTTTTAATTTCGCCTTTTAAAATAAGCCTACACCCACTGAACATGCTGTGCTTTGTATTCTTAATCCCATCCCCACGGTTTTTCTAAACAAGCCTGTTGGAAGAGCTTATTTGACCTTCTTGCTGGGGCGCTCCCTGGCCTTCCTTTGGTCCTGATGACCTCTAGCTTCCCTGGAGGTTATGCTGGTAGCTGCCCTCAAACCCTGTGCCCACTGCATTGCCTTCCTGGGCAGCCTCACCCCTCTGGCTGCAGATGGCCGCTGCCAGCCCCTCAGTGAACGACCCCCAAGCCTCTCCACAGTTCAGCACCCCCACATCCCTTCTCCAATTTAGGAGCATATATCTTTTACCTGGTTCACTTCTGCATGTCTTAATCATCCCTTCCTTCCCATCATCTTCCCCCCACAAAAGAAGGAGATGTGTTTGAATCAGAGAAATGAAGGCCTTTGCCAGGCCCCTGCCATCCCACTCTGAGGTCCCTGGAACCAAGGGACTCTGTGGTTCCTCCTCCCTGCTCACCTCCAGCTCTGGAACCAAGATTTGACTCCAGCCTGCAGTAAGGCCCTCGCCTGTCCCCTTGTTGAGCTGCCCCCCAGAACTGTCTCCCTAACCGCCTTGTGACCCATATTCCTGCCAACCCTGCTGTGCCCGCAGCCTGCAGAATATCCCACTCAGGCAGCTTTTTTTTTTTTTCTTTCTTTCTTTTCCCCCCATGGGCTTCCATCACCAAATCACCCATGTGCCATCACCATAGTCCAGTGCACTTCCCTCCCAACTCTATTTTTGATCCCATTCCCCACTCCACCCCTGTAAAATATCTCTGGTATATAGTTGTTCATTATTATTATTATTATTTTCTCATCAGGCAGCTCTTTGACTCAAAATGTCTCAGGCCTCCCACTGCCAAATAATCCAGGTGCCCTCTACACAAGCCACCCACATTCTTGTGCCATTTCTGCCCAGTGGTCAACGCGTCTCAGTGGTCAGTGAAGTGCCCTGCTCCTCGAGTCCTTCTCACACGTACCCCATGAGGCAAATCCCTCTCTAGCCTCATGAAAACTCCCACCAGGACCCCTACTAGATCCCTCTTTCCTATGCTGTGTGGATTTTATCTTCAATCTGCAACAACCTTTAGCACTAGTGAGGGTAGAAACAGGCTGATTCTGACTCCATCATGCCGGGCACATTAAGTCACTGGTAAACACTTGCTGAATAAATGAAGAGACGTGGCTTTTAGCAAAAGTTGTAGACTCCCATAGTCTTCTCTTTGATGATCCTAAAGAAGTTCTTAAGACAAATACATGGTTGCATAAAATGTGGCTGCCACCAAGGAAGGACAGTTTGTCCAGACCCCTCCTCCTGGCTGGGGCAGGGAAGCCCAGAATTTGTTCAGTAGCTTGCTATAGTGTAAGACGCTAAGTGTATCCCATTAGCTCCTATTTATTCCCACTGTCTTAGTTTACATGACAAGAGACATAAAGATACAGCCCCAGATACACGGTCAGCTCCTTCCTGGACTGGCGAGGTGGCTCTGGTGGAGAGTGGGCTCCCAGGACCCTTCTAACCACTCACTCCGTGGCACCACACTCACGTGGAACTGGGACAGGGCAGGTTCTGAAGTCATAGCGTCTGGGATGCTGGGGGACCACAGAGGCCTGGCCCTGGGCTTGCAGCGCCTCACCAGCACCCTGCCGAAGCCTGCCAATGCTAGGCGAACACATGGACCCACCCGCCCCTTGGCCACATGGGCCCGCAGTGAGAAGAGAAGCCAGTAACAGCAGTGCTGGGCTCCTGAACTCACTCTGCTTGTGGGTTTTAGTAGGCCAGAGACTGAATGGAGCAATGGCGAACAGACAGTACTCTCACTGCATCCCCAGCCTGGGGCCACGTGGAGGGCCTGCTGGCTGGCCTTTGACCGTCCACTGCCGGAGTTTGCTCTCTGCCCATTCCCTCGAGTCCCAGGTGCCAGCTACCAAGTGAGCATGGAGGACAGCAGCCTGGAGGAGAAGGCCTCTCTCGGTTCCTTGTTATGATTTTTCATTCCTTCCAAGCTTTCTAAATGCATTCCACTTGCAAGAAAGTTCTGTCTGTGTTAAACTTTAAAATTATACTCTGCACAGACCTGGTGTGATTCCATATGGGATGATTTACATGCTGGGCAAGAAACTTTTGCTGGCCAACTGCTAGTAGAATAGTTATTCTAGAGACACTATCAGATTATCTTGCTGCCAGGGAAGTTGTTAAAGTTGTCAGTTCCTCAGTTCCTGGAGAGCAGGAAACCGTGATGTTAATGTTCATTAGCGTGGCTGCCATCAAAGGCTTGCGTAGGAAATAACCTCTCCGTCTTGCTCTCCACAGCATTCTGAAATCCATGGAGTTCGCACCGTCCGAGGGAGCTGGGACAAAGGTACACAGTCTCACAGTGATTCCCGTGCCAGCCACAGCGTTGCTGCCGGCCCTCCGCTTTACACCACCAGCCCCACCATCTCACTGTGTCTATTCGTCCTCACACACAGCTGATGAGTAATTCCTCAAGAACATTTAACAAAGTCAGGCCACATTATCTTGAATTTAAAAGAGGCCTTTCAATAAGAAGTTAACGTTACCCAAACTGGGCAGGTGCTAAGAACGTGAATTAAAAGGTTGTGCTCAAAACCGGTCCAGGATGGCCTGGCATAGAAACTCCACCCATCTGTGGCCTCGCTTGGAGAAGTGCCAGGGACCCCTTAAAACGTTAAGTCATCAAATGGAACCTTGCGCCTGGTGCCCAAAAGTCACCTTTACAATGACCTTCCAACAGAGGTTCTAGCTGGGCAGGCAGACCTGTTGCCCACCCTGAGGGACAGACTCAAACTACCTGAATCTGGGGACAGAAGAGCAAGTAATGAACTGTCTAGCAGCTATGTGAGTCTGAAGGAAGAAAAGCTACGTTAGCCAAAGCGGATTCTTTTGGAAAGAAACTTGAATGTCTCCCGTGCACATACCTATTGAACTTCCTTGGAGGGAGTCAGGCTTTCATAAGATGGGCCTGCTAGCAGGCCGAGAGTTGGGGTTGCAAGTGGGTCTAGTGACCCCAGGGCGCGGGAGGGTGGCTGGCCCCGCAGTGAGCCCTGCTCTGCCCCTTCCAGGATGCATCCAAGCCCCTGGAGGTGCTGCTGCTGGAGAAGAACCGCTCGCTGCAGTCTGAGAACGCCGCGCTGCGCATCTCCAACAGCGACCTGAGCGGTAGGTTGACGGGGTGCGTGCGGGGTCACGCAGAAGGAAGGTGAACCGTGAGTCTGGGCCAATGCATGACGGGGATCATCGCTGGTTGGCGAGAGCCTTGACTAATGAGCGTTCGGTCTCCTCCTGGTCTTCCTCACGCTCCTCTCCCTCCCCCCTCCCCCTGCGAAAGATGGTCAAGGTCGAGATGAGCTGTGTGGCCGCGGGGCGTCTGCGGAGGTCAGGTAGAGCACGCGTTGCCGAGATCCGGAGGGACGCGGAGGATGTTGGTTTTTCTGAGCTTTTCCTAGCGGCGCTTCGCAGAGGCCGGAAGTGCGCGGCCTCGCCCTCGGCGTTTCGGGCCGCGGAGGGACGCGCTGCCCTCCCAGGCTCAGCGGAGCTTTTCTTCCTTCGTCAGGTTTTCCTTGGGAGCGCATCCCCCATCCTTAGCCTTTCTTTGCTCATCCCCCAAATGGTGGCGTCACTGACTGCTTCTGGTTTTGGCAGCTGGTAAACCGTTTAAAAGTGTCTCGGGCTCCAGTGATATTTCATTCTTAAAATGTGCGTGCTTCGATCGAGTGGACTCGGTGCAGTGCATTCGCCTCAGAGCAAGTGGTGTGAGAGACCCGTTGGTCCCAGAATGTCAGTGTTTGCTGCTCCTCAGGGGAGCCCTTCTGGTAATAGCGCGAATACTAGCGGCCGCCGAGGCCCACGACCTGTCAACTCTGTACTGTGTGTGGTGCCGGCTCCTTGTCACCTTAGGAGTTTGAATATGTCGAGGGGACTCTCCAGGCTGCAACGTACAAGAAAGGTGCAAACATGAAATGCATGTTGCTTGTTTCGGGGGGCCTCGTTTGGCTAATTAAAAAAATTCAATTGAAAAACAAACCAACACACCTCATTGGCCCTTGTAAAATCTGCACTTTTTTTTTCCCTTTTGTGGGGCAAACTTTGCATTTTGGTCTTGGTTTTTTTTCCCTTTTGAATCCCCCATAATGCATTATGTTTGCCCTTCCTTGTAGGGTCAGCCAGGAGAAAAGGGAAAGACCAGCCTGAGAGTCGGCGTCCTGGACCTTTGCCGGCCTCCCCTCCTTCTCAGTTGCCCCGCAACACGGGGGAGCAGGCTTCCAATACTAACGGTACACACCAGTTCTCACCAGCGGGGTTAACTCAAGACTTTTTCAGCTCATCCCTGGCAAGCCCCAGCCTACCCCTGGCTTCTACGGGAAAATTTGCACTAAACTCTCTCCTCCAACGACAGCTAATGCAGTCCTTCTACTCCAAGGCCATGCAGGAAGCAGGAAGCACAAGCATGATTTTTTCAACAGGTCCATACAGCACAAACTCCATATCTTCCCAAAGTCCATTACAACAAAGCCCAGATGTAAATGGCATGGCCCCGTCTCCCAGCCAGTCAGAAAGTGCTGGGAGCGTCTCCGAGGGCGAGGAGATAGACACTGCAGAAATCGCCCGGCAGGTGAAAGAGCAGTTGATCAAGCACAATATCGGACAGCGCATTTTCGGACATTATGTCTTGGGACTGTCTCAAGGGTCCGTGAGCGAGATTCTGGCCCGGCCCAAGCCCTGGAATAAACTGACCGTGCGTGGCAAGGAGCCGTTTCACAAGATGAAGCAGTTCCTCTCGGACGAGCAGAACATCTTGGCCCTGCGCAGCATCCAAGGCAGACAAAGAGGTGAGAGGCTTTCGTGGGTTGGCGCCACTGTGTGAGCCCGTCACAGAGTTGTGTGTGAGTGTCTGTGTGTAATGAAACATTTGTGCATCACATCAGGTAAAATGCTCTTCAGTTCCACCATTTCCAGAGCTCCAGGGCCAACTGGGTGAGCTGTAAACTATTAGGTTCGGGAAAGCTGGCCTCTGAAACTCCCTCGGCACCTGGCATGTAGCGAACTCAGCATTTCAGCGCTAAGTATAGAATCAGAGGGAGTCTTGTGAAATGCACGGCGTTCCGAAGTGTTTAGCGTCTGGCGGCCCAAGTGGCCTTGGGCGCTGGCCTGGCGGGGAGGAGCCCTGGGCCGCCCTCCAGCTCTGTAGCAGCGGCATCCCTGGGGTCGCTCCTCGCGCAGAGCTGGTTCTGTGGGAAGAGCCATTATCAGCCTCACGTACTCTCCTCTTCTCACCCTGCAGGAGGGGTGTCCATGGTCAGCTCTCCCCGTGTTTAAAGCTCTTAGTGATTTGCTTAGCATCACCAGCAAAACATGCCTGCCTCGAGTAAAATACATAAAAGTTATAAAAACACCCTTCCTACCTCACCCTCCATAAAAAAGATAAAAAGTCAATCACATCCACAGTTGAAAGGACTCCATCCCTTTAACGTCGGAGGATCGTTGTGCTAAATCAACAGTGAGACAGAGAGAGAGAGAGAGGTAATCTTATCAGCCACATTGGAGAGACACCCTGAAATTTAGACTCCAGACAAACAAGAGAAGGGAATTGTTTTGAACAGTGTCAGTTTGCACAAAGGACGTGGAGCCTTTTATGGCGATGTAAACTGAAATTGACTGTCTTTGGATGATTAATGTGAGCTTTGTTCCGGGGGCTGGTGGGCAACTCGCTCCGCGGCAGTACTTCCCCGTCCAACCCTCATGGCGTTGATGCCATAGCCGCCACGTAGGTCGATCTGATCTTCTGCAGCAGAACCGTGGCTTCTGCGGCTCATCAGCCAGGGAAGGGCCTCTCCAAAGTTCCCAGTAGCTCCCGAATTGCACAGGAAGCCCTGAGCCCTTTCTGTAGTGACAGGCGGCTCAGATTTCATGTCACGCAGCCCATATCGTCAACACCACCATCCCCCTGATTGTTTTGTTCTTACCACACTTGTTTTTCAACAGAGAATCCAGGCCAGAGCCTGAACAGACTATTTCAGGAAGTACCGAAACGAAGAAATGGGTCTGAAGGTATGTTGCAGGCAGGTGCTTTTCTTTGCAGTTAGTAACCTAGGAAGCAGCATGTCCTTAGCTGTGCATTTGGGTTAAAACTGTGCAGTGTGATTCTGGCCTGGAACCTGATGGAAAAACAGAGCTAGTAAGTATAAAACAAAGCACGGGTTCAAGTTCGCACAGCGCCTCCTCCTGAGCTGCCTGCACTCTACTGAGCGCAGAACAGGAGCCGAGGGCAGTGCCACCCACGCATCAGCCCCCAAGCACGAGCCCAGCCCCCTTCAGGCCCAAAGCACGCCTCTCCCCGTCTTCTCAGAAGCAGGTGAAAGAGTCTAACAATGGTTGCTCTGAGAACAATCAGGTGACCGAGTCCAGTGAGATACTGCTGCTTCCTTGTCTGTCCTTTAACTCTGAACTGTGCTAAGGGCGTTCCGGAGAGGACACGTTCCCCACGCAGGGGGTCCCCGGGGGCCCTGGTGAGCCGACCCCACCGCACTCCTGGGAGTTGCAGCCCTAGCAGGGCTTTGTCGCGGTGTGTGCTTGTTAAGATGGAGTAACGTGGCAGTTCGTATTCAGTCAGGTTGTGAAACGGAGACACGTGGATGGCTTCCAGAAAGAACTGGGGCCAGCCCCCAGGCCACAGTAGCTCCAGTATGTCTGTTCACGTGGCTGCTCTGCAGAGCATCACCATGGGACAAAAACAGGCTGGATTCTTGTCCTTCGCTTCTGCAGGCTCCTCTCCTCGTTTGTAAATTTTAAAAAGGTAGATGGTAGAACCAAAACTGTTACGTCTTCAAGCTCTTGACTTTGCACATTCGGATGATTGATAGTCAAGCTCAACCCTGGACCCTCCTTTCCTATTTTTCACTCGGGATACCATCCTCAAGTGTGCAGAACACTGAAAGTAGCCCCAAGCCAAAGCCCTGGTCGGAGTTGCTTTTTAAAAACTCAGCAAAAAAGCCTTGCCTGTTAATTTGTTGTCTTTTTTTTTTTTTTTTAAATACAAGCTGAAATGACTTGCTCTCCCTCCTCCCAACTCACGGGTGACACACAGCTTGGGTAAATGTGAGAGCTTGTCCTCCTGGCTGGATAACGTTTAAGGCCAGGTGGGCTCCGCAGGAAGCCCTTCCTGCCCGGGACTCCGCCACCTGCTGTGCAGTTGCACGCACAGCAGGTGCGGGTCGGTGGGAGGCCACGCCGCCCGCGACCGTCGTGGCCTCGGCTGGGGAGCTATCTAATCAGAATGACATCTGCGTGCAGCACTGAGTTTTGTTCCAGGTGTGGGGCTCGATGTCATTGGTGTGGCTTCTCCCTACAGGTAATATCACCACCCGGATCCGAGCCTCCGAGACCGGGTCTGATGAAGCAATCAAGTCCATCCTGGAGCAAGCCAAAAGGGAGCTGCAAGTCCAGAAAACCGGTACGGAGCCGCTTCCTCTGCCACTGTCTCCCGCATGTGATTGAGGGAATTATATGAACTTTCTGGCCAGCAGCAGTTACCTTTAAGACAAACAAACAGCAATAAAATGTATGCCTTTGCGCTTTTGGGCAGGTGCTGAGGGGGACAGCTCTGTGTGACACACGGTCGCGTCACCAGCACCATTCTTGTCATGCTGTCGCCCCCTCGCAGTGACGGACCTAGGAGCCTGGGCCTCGAGCTCCTGGGCTGGACTTAGCCAGTAGTTTGTATCAAGTTCCCCTTTTTAAATGCAGCACAGGCTCTCGTTACTTACATGTTATCGTACTTGACCAAATAGTACTGAGGAAGGAGCTCCTAGCACAGATCCCAGAGTGAAAGTCGCTGAGGAGGGCCCGCCTGGTGGCGCTGCAGTTAGAGCGCAGCATCACAAAGCTGGCTGCTGCTGCTTCAGCACCAGTGCAGGCCTCCGCCAGGGAGCTGGCTCGCCTGGCGCGGCAGACCTCTCCTGACCCACCCGCTGCTCCCCTCAGCAGTGTGCTTCATACATCTGCTTGTTGTGCTCCCCACTCTGTCTGCATAAATAAACCTTTTTTTTTTTTTAAGATTTATTTATTTGTGCATACAGAACTGGGGTACAGGCCAGAGGCTCAGGGGCGGTGAGAGGCTTCACCAGAGACAGAGCGTGGAGCAGAACAGGCAGGTCGACGAAGTACACTGCTGAGGGGAGCAGCGGGCGGGTCAGGAGAGGTCTGCCACATCACGTGGTCACCTCCGGGGCAGGCGGGGATCGAACTCATGCGGAAGCGGCTTTAGATTCTCAGTGCTGTGCTTTAACCCGCTGTGCCACCAGGGAGGGCCCCCCTTTTTTTTTTAATCTGCTAGTAAGGCAGCACATGTTTCGCTGCGAGTCTCCCTCAGGAACCTCTGAGAGAGAGCCCTGTCCTTTCTCCACTCGTGGCCTGATAGAGAGGTGCTCGCCCCGTCTGGGCAGGCAGCTCAGGCCGGCTGGTGGGGAAGCCAGGTGCCCGGGTCTCCTCCTGGGCCGCCCCCAGGACTGCTCCGCAAGCCTCTCCTCCCTGGGCCTGGTGGCTGCCTGGGCTCTGGGCCAGGCCTGCCCCTGCCCCGCAGGCTCCTCGGGGGGGTGGGGGCTGGACCACAGCCACCCCCCCAGAAGAGAGTCAGCCTGTGGCGCCTGATCACAGGGCACTCTAGTCTGGTGTCACAGCCACTCACAGAAACAATGTTTCTAAAACTTGACGAAACCTCTAGAATTTCGCAACAAGCACCCCAAAATACTAAGCTTAAAAATGATGGGGGAACAGAACTCCAGGAGGGTGTGTCCCTGCACGTTCGCATGGTCCACGTCCTTGGCACGCGCAGGGTGGTGAATCCTCTCAGCGGGCGTGAGGCAGAGGCCGTCGGGTCACAGAGCATGGTGCGAATGCGGGCAAGTAGGCAGGGCCGGTAGCTCTCCCAGACGGCCCCCATTTGTGGAGGGCGAAGAGGGCGAGGTGGTGCGAGAGAGGCCCGCTCCCGGCCGCAGGGCAGCCAGCCCCTCCGCCGACTGACCGTGTTTGCTCCCCACAGCAGAGCCAGCCCAGCCTGCCTCGGCATCCGGCAGCGGCAACTCGGACGACGCCATCCGCTCCATCCTGCAGCAAGCCCGCCGAGAGATGGAGGCCCAGCAGGCCGGCCTCGACCCTGCCTTAAAGCAGCCGCCGCCGTCCCAGACTGACATCGCCATCCTCGCCCCCAAGTTAATGTCCTCCTCGCCCCTGTCCTCGGTGTCCGGTTACTCTCCTCTCGCCATCTCCCTGAAGAAGCCCCCCGCAGCCCCTGAGTCCAGTGCCGCCACTCTGCCAAACCCCCCGGCCCTCAAAAAGGAGTCCCAGGACGCGCCGGGACTGGACCTGCAGGTGGCGGCTGATTCCGCACAGGGCGTCCTGAGACACGTGAAGAACGAGCTCGGCCGCAGCGGCGTGTGGAAGGACCACTGGTGGAGCACCGTCCAGCCCGAGAGGAAGGGCGCCCTGTCCTCTGAGGATGCAAAGGGGGAAGAAGGCAGCGGTGGGAAAGAGAAAGGCGGCGGCGGCCAGGCTCGGGCCGAGCGCGGCCAGCTGCAGGGCCCCTCCTCCTCAGAGTACTGGAAAGAGTGGCCCAGCGCCGAGTCGCCATACTCCCAGAGCTCGGAGCTCAGCCTGACTGGAGCCAGCCGCAGCGAGACGCCCCAAAACAGCCCTCTGCCTTCCTCCCCAATCGTGCCCATGTCCAAGCCCGCCAAGCCCTCCGTCCCGCCACTGACCCCGGAGCAGTACGAGATCTACATGTACCAGGAGGTGGACACCATTGAGCTCACCCGGCAGGTCAAAGAGAAGCTGGCCAAGAACGGCATCTGTCAGAGGATCTTCGGGGAGAAGGTAAGGTGTCCCTTTGGGGGCTCAGGTTTCCCATCTCTTGCATTGCTCAGGACTAGGCATCTCTCTGGAGAATGTGACCGTTGCCCATTTAATTAGCCGCTGACTGACTGATGGAGCCTCCACTCCTAAATTTCTGGGGAGGGTGGCCAGTGAACGTCCTATTCGCCGCGTCACCACTGTGAGCCACGTTCCAGCCAGGCCCTCTCCTAAGACCCCTGGGTCACTGCGGGGCGATGAGAAAGTCACTACATGACCGACGGGAAAATCCGAGCTCAGGGGAAAGTAATACGTGGCCTAAGCCAGCAGGTCGCTGAACGTAAGTCCTACCTCGGCTGCCAGGCAGAGCCCAGAGGCACCTCTGCAGGCTGTGTGTGCCCAACATAGATCTGGGCGCTCAGAGAGGCAGCCAGCGCGAAGAGCCAAAAGACATTCGATAGAAAAGCCCCCTACCGTTGGGCTGTGCCTTTCCAGTAGTCCAGAAGGCACTTGGGGTGTCCACCAGAGAGGCGGGGCCGCTGCCTGAGGATGCGCCGCTAGACGCCGGCCCCGACGGCCCGCCCGCCGCTCGGTCCCTGCCTCCGGAAATGCCACGATTTATGAGTAAGCTTGGCACTTCTTGGTAACAGAGTTTACAGAATGGGGACGTACCAGGCCTGTGCACTGTAAGGAAACACAACACCCTCGGCGGAGCAGCCTCTGCGAGGCACTGGCCTCCGGGAGGCCCTGCTTGCTCCCTGCCCCGGGCCGCCTCCAGCGGGGGCCGTGCCAGGAGCCCTGGCAGCATCTGATTGTCGACTCTGTCCTGATTTTGCTAAAGGTGATGGGGGTGAGTAGAGATGAGGATGGAAATTTAAAATCCCTTGAAATTTCTAGTTCAGTGTTGTAAAAATATCATTTGAGAACATTTAAATAGACATTTGTGCTCATGCCTTAAATTTAGCAGAGACTTAATAGTGCTGAACTTGTTTGGCCCATGAGTGCAGTTTATTCTGGAACTTGAGAACTTTTCAGAAGAGTGATCGAATGCAGCCCCTAAATATCTCTGGGCTGCATCTGTGTCCTGTGTGGGGTGTTTGTGCCCATACATATGTATGGCCATATGTGAGCCAAAGGAAACTCGGGTATGTGCGTGCAACTTCCCCATCGTCTGCAGTGAGCTCCTCCGTGGCAGGCTCCCCGTCGCTGCCGCTCACCTCTGGGCACCCCCTGTTGAGCAGGATGTGATCGGAGGGAACAAACCTTTCTAAGTGCCAGCCTGGCCCAGTGCCAGCAGAGGAGACCGGCTTCCCACATCCTGCTGGCACTCCTCTGTTCCTGCCTCTAGAGGGGTCCTTGGCCCCACACTTCAGCCTTTCCTGGCGCCACAGGCAAAGAGCAAGGTGGTTCCGATGCTTCATCCTCAGGTTGTCAGGACAACGACCCCACAGCCTTGGCGGGATCAAGGCCCTGAGGCCGGAGGCCTCCGCTCTCCTGCCCGCCTGCCACTCCCAGGGAGCTAACTCTGGCTGCCGGGGCAGGGCCTTGGATCTGGGAAAGCTCATTTCCCGAGCCGTGGATGTGGCCATCGCCGGGCGGTGGGGGGTAGGGCCTGCGCTCTAGCCCAGGGTCTTGCATCGCTCGCACGCAGCCTCACGTGAAACTGGGCACTGACGCCTGTGTCTCTGGTCACCACTCCAGGTGCTGGGTCTGTCCCAGGGCAGTGTCAGCGACATGCTGTCCCGGCCGAAGCCATGGAGCAAGCTGACCCAGAAAGGCCGAGAACCCTTCATCCGGATGCAGCTCTGGCTGAACGGCGAGCTAGGCCAAGGAGTTCTGCCCGTCCAAGGGCAGCAGCAAGGGCCAGGTAAGGACAGGCCCACCCTGGTCAGCTGCGGGGCGGCCCCTCCGACCATGCCCTCAGCCGCTGGCTGATGCTGGGAGGACGGTCCGCGTCCTCGGCAGCCTGCTCCCACGTCGCTGACTGGGTCTTGGGAGAGAGAAGATTGTGCCTGGCTGATTTTATAAGCAGCAGAAAATGAGTTACCAATTAAGAAAAACGCTGTTTATACATAAATATAGGTAAAAGTCAAGGAGCTAAATCCGGGAGTCAGGAGACAAAATCTGCCACAGAGAGAGAATGAAAACCCCGCGGCCCTGCCTGCTCCTGGCCCGGGGTCCTGGCCGCTGCCAGCAGCCAGCCCGGGGCCTGCCTGTGTGGACGCCCTTTCAAGTCCTCCCAGGGAGGAGTGGGGACACACACACACACACACCAGCCTTGGGAGCCTTGCTCTGTCCCGGGCCGTGACTAGCGCATTAGGAAGCCTAGAACACCCCTCTGTTTTGTTGCCTTATGTAATTAGAACCTTTTTCTCCTTCAGTCCCCCATTCTGTGACGTCACTACAGGACCCCCTGCAGCAGGGCTGTGTGAGCTCAGGTAACTAGCACCTTTCTCTTGGTTTTGTGTGAGCTGTCTTGTTGCTTTGTGTTTTCCTGTCCTCTGGTCTGTAGGGGGAGACTCCGTTCTGAACCTGGTGAGCTGTACCCGCGGTACCCCGTTGGCCAGCTGGACTCCTCCAGGCCAGAGTTTCTAGCAGAGGTTGACAGCCCGGTGGATAGCTCCTTGCCGTTTTGCTCCTTCTCGCCACGTTCTGACAGCGGGCTGTGGGCATCTCGGAGTGAGGCCCTGTGTTTGGGGCGGGAACTAGATTCCGAGTCAGCCTGGTGTGGCCGTGGGGTATCCCGTAGGAGGGGGCCGGGCCAGCCACACCTCGCTGCTCCTGCATGGTTGTGGTAAGGGGAAGCGACCCTTGAGCCCACCATCCAGCAAGAAGGATGACTGGCAGGGGCCCTGCGAGCCTTTCGGGGGGGTGACTGGGTTCACAGCTGGTGATGCTCGGGCTGAAGCTTGGAGTCAGCCGGGGAGTGGCAGAGCCAGGCCCGGCGTTTCGGCCGAGATGCTCGGGTCTTCCTGCCGGCGTCTGAGCACCCCAGGGTCTCTTTGAGGGGAGGCTGTGCCGTGTGGACTCCCAGCCGTGGCACCTGGACGTGGCCACCGGGCTGGCCCACGCGCCTGTCCTTGCCACACTCCCACGGGTGCAGAGCGGTCTCGCCCCCCTTGCAGGGACAGCCAGCATCAAAAGCTGTCGCTCTTTTTTCCTCTTTATTTTTCTAAACATGTTGATTAGGCTCCATATCCCATTGATTCATTGAAAACACAAACAAAGCTAAGTGAGGAACGTGAAGCCGCCAGCCTGCTGGAAGTTTTATGAGGGAAACATGTGCAGCGAGGGGAACAGCTGGGCGGCGGCGCCGAGAGACACAGACCCGCGCAGATGCGGCCAGGGCAGCTGGTGGCTGTGGTCTGGCGGGGAGAGGGGGTTTGTATTTGGGGTGTTCTGTCTTGATTTTAGCCAAAATGGAGAGCGGAAGACTGTACTGTCCTCAAGCCTTTGGTTTTCTTGGCTGGACAGCTAAACAGAATGGCTGTCCACCTGAAAGATCAGGTGTCCTCACATCTTTGCGGGGTTGGCCAACTTAATTAGCAAGTACCAGAGAACTTCCCCGGCACTGGCTCGAATTCAAACTGCATTAGGGAAAATAATGGACACAGTTGTTTATGCTGGAGTTTTGTGAACGTTTGCATGGAAAATGAGCCTTACCCTGTCAAGTTGGCCTCTTGAATGCTCCAAGAGAATTTGCTGCCCCATCAAAATCAGCCTGAACTTGGCAGACTGTGACAGGTGGTTTCTAGATCAAAACCCCCTGTCCTCCCGCTCCAGGTCACTTATGACCTATGCCAAGACCTCCCCAGTGCCCAAACAAATCCTTACAGGATGCCTCTTTATTTTTTATTGTAGCTGGTAACTGCCACCATGCAGGAAAATTTGTACAACTCTCACTTTGCCCGTGTAGGAAAAGCAGGGTCCTCAGAGGCATGTAAATGATATTTGTAAGACGTCGAATTACTTCATAAAATAAAGTTATATGAAGCTCTTGGGGCGTTTGCAGGTGGAGGAGGGGGAAGGAAGGAGGAGTGAGGCTCTTATTTACAACGAGCACTTCGAGCTTCCAGTGGCATCTTGGAAGTGGCCTGTGGCCCCCCCCAGCAGGATGACATAAGGGTTGCAGATAGCTCCCCCAGTGGGCCTGCGTCAGTCAGCGACAGGGAAGCCGTCGGGAGAAGTAATAGTTAATTACGGTGGCTGTGGAGGAAAATATTTTATATTCTAGGCAAACAAAGTTTGTAATATCGCGATGGTAACTTAAGCAAAATTCTCTCTTTGATTCAGGAAAGAGAAAGAACTTGTTAAAAGGAAAGAATGTGAGTGGTAGTATTCTTGTTAGACATTGCTCTATCAATGCTAGCCTTCCAAGAGTGTCTTTTTGTAGTAGCTCTGCTTTCCAGCGTGTGGGATTTGGATCAGAAAAGTAGAATCATTTTGTGATGGTGAGTGGTGACATATCATCGGGTTGAATCACTCTAGGATCGTCCTTGACAGCTTAAAAAAACAGTGTCTCTGAGGAAGCATTCAGCACTGCTGCCTCCACAGGCGTGGGGGTGAGGTCTTCCGGTCCTAGGATTTCCACCGCATTCTGATTCCCTCGTCTCGCTCTGACGACCACGGCATCCTTTTCAAGAAGTCCCAGGCTCAGAATGATGCTCGGTCCTTGGTGGTGACGCCCCGAGGCCTCTGCGCACAGAGGCTCCGCCTGGTAGACCAGGTGGCCAAAGGGAGGTAATTCCAACCCTGGACTGTCCTGTCCCTGAGTATGGGCGAGAAGTACTCGGTCTCTGAGGACCCAGACCCCTGAGCTGGGTGGCGCTTAGCGTCCCAGGAGGGGAAGGACTTTGGAAGACTTGCCATCTGTCCAGTCGGTCAGCCACAGCCCTTCAGTAGAAGTGGCAGCCTCAGAGATAGTGGGGCTAATACCAGGGCCCTGTGCTCAGTTACCATGGCGATGAGGTGCCACGAGAGTAGAGCCGCCTCACTCATCTGAACCGCAAACTGCTGACGCAGGAATCTGCTCCTCGCTGCAGCATCCCTGTCGGCCTTTCTGCCCGGCTTGTTGCCCCTCGGCATCTCCACCTTCCTTAGTGATGTGTGTGTCAGGCTTGCCGGTCATTTCACAGTGAGGAGGGAGACAATGACGTTTCAGTGGTGGCGTCATCTTCTCCCCCTGGAGGATGTAACCGTTTCTGAATGCCCCTTCGATGGTTTGTGCACTGGGGTGATGAGTCTGGGTGTCGAGGAACGACGATGCCATTTTCAGCCCTGGATCTCGCTCCTGGCCTGTGCTTCTTTCTCTTTGCAAGCTGCAGGGCCTTGATGAAGAGTCAGGTGAGCAGCATGTGCTGTGCCAGCCTGAGTAATGTGCCAGCCAAAAAGAGAAACTTTTTGAAAAAGGCTTTTTTCAGGACCGAACATAAGATCATCCCCTGTTATCTATTTGGTTTTCTGCAGACATTTCTGTGTTGGCTTCTTTCACAGTTCCCAGTGTCTTGGGCAGGGCGACCATGAACACGGGGACCCCTCCGGGGCTCCGGAGCTCTAATCTGGCGAATGTCACTGGAAGAGAGCATTGCAGGGAGTCCTCCGGAGATGGAGTCCCTGAGTCTCCCTTTTGTTTATCTTCCATCCTAGGGGCCATCCACCACCTGACCTCCCACTGCTTAGCAATAGCTGTGCCCAGGGGAAGCCAAGGAGCACTGACGGGAGGGGGGAGCAAGGAAGGCTTGTTTTCTCAGAGGGTGACTGCAGTCATGCTCATCAGCTAGTTGTTTTTTAAAGGGGAGAAAACCTTGAGATACGGTGAATGGTGTGTGTGTGTGTGTGTGTGTGTGTGTGTGTGTGTGTGTGTGTGTATGGACTGGTAGGTAGATATGATCTAGTAGCCCTTTGTGTTTTTGTTTTGTTTTGTTTTTTCCTTTTTCATTCCTTAAAACTCATTTCATATTCACAGTTCCTTGGTGTGATTAATCTTTTTGCCCCTAGGGAAGGAAGGGAAACAAGAGACAACTCTAAAGGGGGGAGGAAAGAGGAAAGGAACAGATTTTCCTTGGATGCAACAACGTTAGTCATTACGTTAGGAGAAATGATAGAGAAGAGTTGCCAGATGCTCTCAGCTTTGTAACTCTTTAATCTGGTAGCATTTCATTACTGTAGCTAACAAGCTGTTACTGCCTGCTTCCACACCAGCTTCAGATGGATTGTTGCGGGTTGTATAAGCAGAAGGGTGGCCGAGTCTCCTTGGATTAATCATAAAATATCTGGCTCACCCCCAGCACGTCAGCCAGGACCTATGGGTTCCACACCCTCCGTGCTGCAGAGAACCCCCTGCTCCGCGTCCCTGGCCTCACTCGAGAAGACAGCTGTGGGAGGTCTCTTGGCCCCTCCCCTGCCATGGTGGCCACAGGACTGGGCTGTCATGGCCGCACAGCTGCCTGGCCACTACCCTCCTTAGGGACAGGCAGGCGTTCCTTTTACATATATAATGACTCTAGCTTAGTGCCCATGAGATGACCATGAATATGTCCAGGGTTTTGGTGGTTTGAACTCAGAGCTGGGTTTTGATGCCGTTTCCTTGAATAAGCAATCAGTTCCCCAATTCTAATGACTAAGTCAGGGTGTGGCATTTGGGTAGCATTGATAGGAAAAGGAAGGGCTGGTTGCACCCCGGAAAATTCCATAGCACTGTCTAAAGCAGACAGAACTCATCCTTACTAGATAGATATAAAATTGTTTCCCCTTTCATTGAAATAAATCAAGGAAAGTAACTGTTGCTTCTCTGCAGTGAGAATTAGTTCAACCCTTGATTAGTTTGAATAGCTTTTAAAAAATTTACACATACCTGATTGACAAATTTCCACAGACGACAAAGTAGAAACGGAAGAGAATAGTGGAAAGCCACACGTGAGCTCGGGCTCCCGCCCCTGGGCAGGCGCCTGGTCTCTGCCCCTCGGTCTGGGGCTCCGTCTCCACACCCAGCTCAGCCATGAACACGGAGGCCAGGACCACGTGCCCATTTGTTTTCTCCTTTCTTGGTTGTAACCTGTGTTAAGATGTTTTTACTTTGTCAAAAATGCCACAATAAAAGAATTCTCGACTTTCAGGTCAGAAGAGATAGGTTGGCACGGGTCATAGCTCAGGGGTAGCGCATTTGACTGCAGAAGATAGCTTCTGGCCCCACACACAGCCCCTTTCCTGTCAGCTGTCATCTGACATCCGGGGGGTGCAGGCCTTCGGAGATGCCCAGGATGAAGGGCTGGGGGAGAACATTCCAGGTGGAGAGCTTTGCAGGTAGAAAGGTTTGTTGCGGGAAGAGAGTGTGGTGTCAATGGAGCCTTTGAAAAAAGTGAGAAACCCTTAAGTCAAAGGCCTTTTATTTCTTAAGTAACAATAGGAAAGTGGATTATGGAAGAATTTTGTCTTTTCT